GCTCTATGGGGTTCATACTTAAACCCCAAATCTTCCTCTTTATGTCAGTGTAAGTTGATACATCAATCTTTTGTTTAATTTTCTTAATTTTTTTTTTTAAAATTTAGGTCAGATTTTTGTAGTTTTCTTGATTCTACTTTGCATAAAGGTAAAATCTTGAAGTGGGATTTTTTTTTGATTTGTTTAAGGTCATTTTGGTTGAAAGTTTATGTTTTTGGCAAAACCTTTTTGATTTTTTTTTTTTAATGTGGAAGCAGTTTAAGTTGATATCACACAATTGAGATAGTAATTGGGACATACTCATTTGTTTATTTACTGTTTATGCTGTTATGTTTCTTATTATTGTATTTTTAAAACTACTTTATTTGAACTGAGGATCTTTCGGAAACAATCTTTTTACCTCAACAAGGTAATGTACACACTATCCTCTCTAGACCTCACTTGTGGGAATACACTGCGTATGTTGTTGTTGGTTATGATGCTCTAGTTATGGCTATTGTGTTTTGATGAAATTGGTATTTTTGAAGACCCTTGTTGATATTTTTAGGTTCAAAATTTCAATTATTATCCTAAAAATCTCAACTTTTTTTGTTTAATGTTATAGAGGAGTGTATATGTAGAAGTTGAGAGATAGAAAGAGAGGAAAAAGAGTGAGAGAGATGACTTGCCACCTCTCATTTCCCACTCCTTCAGCTCTATGAGGCTCATACTTGAACTCCAAGTGTTCTTCTTTATGTCAGTGTAAGTTGATTAAAAGCTGGATTTTTCGGTAGATTGGTTAAGGTCATTTTGTATTGTACTCTTCTTGGAATATTTGTTTGTTTGGTTTTTGGTTCAAGTTTTGTAGTTCTTCATGACCCTAAGTATACAAATGAAATCTCAAAGTGGAACTTAAGTTTGTATGGTGTCTGACCAACTTTCGCGCACCTAGACTAATTCACAGATCTAGAACAGATGGGAAGAATGAATCACCTAGTGCTTTTTTTTTTTTGGCTTTGTTGGGATTTGAACCTTATACCACTCCACGACAGACCATGTTAGTTTAACAGCTTAAGTTGATACATAGTTGAAATGCAATTGGGATATATTTATTTGTTTTCTGGACTGGTTGATGTCATTCTTGATTGTTTCTTCTTATTGGGATTTTGTTGGAAGTTAGTATTTTAAAGACCTTTTTGGCCTGAAAAATATGTTAGTACTTGGGAGTAAGGTTTTTTTTTTTTGGGTAAATGGCAGTGAATTTGAAGAAGAGGGGAGGATCTCATGTGAACTGCAGCTCGGAGAATGAGAGTTGTACTTCTGCATCTTCCGAGCATTCACAGGAACCTGTAGAGGAAAAGGTTTGTAACTTCTTACAGCTTCTTGATGGGATTGCTAAACAACAACAACAACAACATACCCGGTGAAATCCTACTAAGTGGGGTCTGAGGAGTGTAGAGTGTCGCTAAGACCTTACGATTACCTCATGGAGGTAGAGAGACTGTTTACGAAAGACCCTCGGCTCAATTGCATCAAACCCGAAGTAAAAGAAGAAGAAAACATAGTAGTTGATAAGAAAAATAGTGTAAAGTCTACCCTTCGGAGTGGTCCAGTGGTTTAGACTTGGGACTTCCATGTTGGAGGTCTCAAGTTCAAAACCCCTTGCCAGCTAAAGCAAGGGGTTTTGCCTTCTGGGTCGAGCTTGTCGTACCAGGCTCTTTTATGTGGTTTGCGAGCTATTGCATAGGAGCGGTATTTTTTTACCATGTATGCATCCAAAGAGTAGCGGCTGCGGGTTTCCCTTGTCATAAAAAAGAAACAGTGTAAAGTCTACTCGAAACAATAACAATAGGAAAATAATGTGATACTCGAAACACAATAAACAACATATGGTAAGAACTACAAGGGTATAGCTAGTACTGCGATAGGCACTAACAAGCCTAAGCCTTTGTAAGACAAGACAACACTCTACCCCAACTAACCTTTTACCTTAATACGGGACCTCCACTCCTTCCTATGTAGAGTCAATTGATGATTTTTGAAAATTCTAGTTTTTATTTTTGTAAAATAATGTCTTTTTGAAAATGTTTGAGAAAATGATAATGAGGAAAATCATTGTTCGACCCTCCAAAGTCCAAATAGTAATGTATCATATACAATAACATTGACAATGTGCTATTTTTGTCTACAACTATCATCAGATTATATTTATTGATTTGAGTGTTGTTGCTTTTCGGAACAGAGATCTCAAACGTCAGTCTCACGGAGATGGTGTCTGACTTGCCTATGCTCGACTGGAGCTCTGATAACTGCTTCTGGAAATCCGATTTCTGAACCAAAAGCAATTGCCTTAGATGGAAATGAAAGTCCTGGCTGTCGGAACTGTGGGGGTAGTGGCGCTATAATTTGTAAGTGTATATTGTTTCCTGCTTTACTTGCTTCATCCCACTAATCATATTACATTTAGGAACAACATGTTCTAAGAGAACTTTTCTTATGCTTCTCCATGACTATAAACAAATTCTCAAAGATTTTCATATTGAAACTGAAACCCGTATAACCAAATCGAGTACCCTTGTAAAATTGTAGGATCCAGTATATGCTAAATCTTTGAATTGTAACAGAAAGGCACCTACATAGTTAACAAAACTAACACACACGTAAATACATCCAGCTCAATTTGTAATGACTTGCCGAAAGTTTTTATTGTGAGTCAGTAGTACTGTGTCGTTGAGAATTCAAGGTTCTAATGTTTTATCCAAAAGTTCTGCTTTTGAAGTGTTGAAACATGGAAACAAGAACCTCAACGAACTTTTCTTTTTCGCAGTTAAACTAGGAAAACTTGAGAATTGTTGAGCATCAAAACAACACACCTTAGCAAACTTGAGAATTATTGAGCATCAAAACAACTCACCTAAACAAACTGTTTTCGCAACTTTACCGAAGAACAGGTTTAGAAAGTGAAAACTTGAGCTAATACAAACCAAAAAGAGAGAGAAGTCTGAATAAGAATATCTAAATTATTTCCTTATAGTTACTTTCCTTCACATTCAATGTTGACACGATTTTATTCATGATTGTTCGCATATAAGTTTCTTGTGCTTCTAGCTTTTTCTCTTCTAAGAGGACGCGATATAGTAATTGAAGAGATCTTTGACTACTTAAGTTCTCTTTTCTGATAAAGGTTAAATCCTTTTGCTACTCAATTATCTTTTTTTCTGCTTGATATCTTTGTCTGTGGGCCCTTGTTTTACAATTCTGTTCAGAACTTGTCTTTGATCGATCTCTTCCTCACATTATATCGTAAAGCAGATAATTTGTGAACTATTGATGTCTGTTGAATCTTTCATCATACATTTTCCAAGTAACTGAAGGACAAAACGTAGCTAGTCTTTACTATCCTGGACACGAATCAAAGAATTTTATATCCCAATTTAGATGAAGCACTATAATATTGTATGCATAACTTATGTTGGTGCTCTATCTACTTTAAGACTGTTGTCTGTTTTTTATTTAGGTGATATGTGTGGTGGTACAGGAAAATGGAAAGCTCTAAACAGAAAACGAGCTAAAGACGTTTATGAGTTCACTGAATGCCCCAATTGTTATGGTATGTTATTATATCTAACTTCTATGTGTTGAAGCTGTTCCTATTTATCATGCTATTCTTAGATATCCATCTCGAACTACATGACTTGGGGCTGTCTCTCTTAAGGATACTTAAAACATCCATTAGGAACTTTGCTCTTGTCGTCCATGTCTTATATTAAAATTGGAATATTAGCTCATATTTTTGTCTCTCTTGAAATCATACTGTGATTGCTTCAGTGGTTGGTATCAGTCGATAATTTCCTTAGTTCGTAATATGAAAGTAGTAGCTTGTGTTGCAGTGTTTACTCAAACTAGATTCGACATCCATAGTCCCTGAGGCAAAATGTCTGACGTGGATTGTGAAAAGGAATGAACCTTTGAATCCATATAAGGAAGAAAAGAAGTCAAAATGTAGATCATAGTCCCAGCACAAAACCAAGATTTGAATATTGCATAAGACGTAGGGTTTTCATTATCGAGTCACTAAACAAGAACTGCTCCATTTTCATTTCGATATACCCCAACAAGTCATACCATCAATAGTCTTTCCCTTTGATAATCGTTTGCTTTCAGAATGATTCATTTTATCTTATCTTGAATACTAACATAATGACATTTTTTCTTATGGGATAACCAGGACGAGGGAAACTAGTATGTCCTGTATGTTTAGGAACTGGTTTACCTAATAATAAAGGTCTTCTTAGGCGGCCAGACGCAAGGAAGTTACTTGACAAGATGTATAATGGACGACTGTTGCCAAACTCATAAGGTTAAAGTAACTCAAGCAATTTTATCATAATTCATTTCTAGTCTTACGAATCCTGTTCTATTTACCCTTGTTATGTACAACGTCATTGTACATTCCAATCGGGTACTGGATTGAAACATTTTACGTATAGATTCTCAAGTTCTGTATTCCTATTCCTCAGGTTGAAAGCTGTACTTAAACCAGAAGGACAATGAAAAGAGACTCAAAGTAACTATGGATGTCACAACTATTGTGTTGTTGAGTGTACCTGTTAAATCTCTCGATGAACTCTCGTTCTAACTCTCCCTGATCTATCTTGATACCGGGGTAGTAGTATTCCCCGACTTTCATCGCCCCCTCCACCATTCTTGAAAGAAATGGAAAGTAGTTTCTGCTACATGATAGAGTTAGCATTGCAACTATTTTGGAATATTGTGAGAGGAGCATTAATTTGGTCATATCTCATAACAATAGAGAATGAAAGAAGAGAAAACAGAGACTGTTTTGTACTTTGGAATGTATAATATTTTCTTATGAAAAATTGTTACTTGAGAGTTTGTACCATCTACTATTTTTAAAATTGGTGTGTTATGTTGTTATGTATGGTAATTTTTTTTTAGGAAAAGCAAAGATTTAATTACTAAGAACGAGACTATGAATTATCGTAACTATACTGGCCATTTGATGCAACATAAGTGGTACTGTATTAATTAAACAAAACACTATTATTTACAACTTTTACTAAATTGTTATTCCTTACACTAATATTTGGTAAAATAAAGTACAAATCACTAGTTTCTTGTTTCTCTCAATTGGCTTCTGCTAGTCTTGAACGAATTGTGTCAGGATTTGATATCTTGTTAACACTGCAAAATAAAGATATTATAGACGTTAGATGTAGCTTAACCCCAAAAGTTAGCTCACGAGAAGAGAGTTAGCACTAGCTCATTTCCCAATCAATATGGAACTCTTAACACCCTGTCGGGCTCAGGCAGCCAAGTGTGGACAATATAATGAGTTTGAAACGAGGATGACCCTTGGCTCTAATATCATGTGAAAATACGACTCTGGGGCCTAACCCAACCTTAAAACGCTATCTCACAAGGGGAATTGTCCAAAGAGACTATCACTTCATTTTCCGACGAATGTGAGTCTCTAACCTACTCTAACCAATGTGAGACTCTAATCTACTCTAACGAAGAAAAATGATCAAGAAATTGGCAACATAGATCTCCTAAACTCATCATTGCTATGGACAAAGCAAACAAAGAATGGTAGCTTACAGTAAGAGAAGAGTTCCATTAGATGCTGGTTTCTCATAAATCCATTCGGGAGCCAATTCTTGCAGTAATAGGAGTTGCTGTTCAACTTCACCTGCATTAATGAAACATCAAGATTCAGAAAGAAGCTCCAATGAATCTCATAAGGACTACAGGCTTCTGAAAATTGTCAACCGGGCTTACTTTTATCCGTTATCTCTAAATGGCTTGAAATTACTCTGTGCATGAGCTCCTCTTTCGTCATGACAGAACGTTTAATAGATTGAAACAGGAAATAGATCATGTCAAAGAGGTGAGGCAAACAAGCAATCATCTGTTTGCGCCTTTTTGCCTGGGATATGGCTGGATTTTGCTCCTCTAGTGCTTCACTCTCCTTTTCTCCTATCTGTGAAATCATGGAAGTTAGCTTCTTGTTGCAGAAAACAGAAGGTTGAGCAAATCCCCCAATAATCTCATGATTCACGAGTGAAGAATATTTTGTAGGAATGAAAATTTAAATGAATCCAATGTAGTTGGTCTAAACAAATTTTATCAAAGGAAGATTGATACGCAAGTGTATCTTATATTACCGATTGCAGAAGATTCTCAGGAAGAATGTCAAGAATATCATCATCAGTTGAAAACCTTCCATTCTCGCAGACTTTATCAGCAGTATTTGCACTCTTCACAGGAGTACCAAAGAGCAATGACCTTCTAGTTGACGGGCGTCTAGCTAGTTTTATTGGTGGTTCAGCTGGATCATCTGGGCTCATGTAACATCTATTAGGAGGTTCGAGCATAGGGGTTGCTGGAGCAGACATAGAAGCATCTTCTCCTTTTTTGGCTTCAATCATAGGAAGAGCAGGTGGATGACATGGTGAACTAGCCAAAACAATCCCTCCAGCTGAGCATTTCATGCTACTAGTTTGTTTTAGAGATAACTTAGGAGCATCAGAAAATGCTACTGTTTTCTTCTTAGTGGAACTTGCGACATTAAGGGGTATTGAAGCTGGAGAAACAGGGACAAGCCCAACTCTATCTCTTTCCTTGACATCCGTTCCTCCAGTAATAGATGCTCGATTTGAAAAGCACCTCTTGAAAGATACAGACAGGTGTGATGCAGCTATTGACTGCAGAGGAAACACACCATTAGGTGTCTCACTGGTTAAGGATGAGCTAGAAGGTCTAGATGAGTTAGTCGCTTCTTGCTTAGACTGAGTGAATGGGCCTGGCAGCATTCCCTCAGGAATGTCATCACCCTGAAACAGAAACGGTAATTATTATCGACAATGCATGCATAGAAAAAGTGTTATCATGGAAATAAAATTTCCAGGGAAACATTAAATTATACTTTAACGATGTCTTAGCTGACAACATGGTGCTCATATATGTAAAAGTGTGTGCTGATTATTCCAATGCTGATACTCAGAGTAAAACACAATACAAATTCAACACAAATTTTCTTATCAAAAGCTATTCCTTTCATACAATATGGCAGGCCAGCCACCGAATAACTCTGTAGCTTCATGAAACAGTGATTACCACTCTTTACGAGCTTCACGTATAGCTTCATTCCCATACAAGTTTGGCATTTTCTGGAATAAAGCACCTGTAGTGTTGCAGAGGCACTACACAATATCATTAAACCAGAAACAAGTGCATCACTTTGCCAAGAACGTATAGTCTAATGAAAGACCTCCAGCTTAAAATCTCATTTTCCATTTGAAACTTCTGCTATGCTGTTAAAAGTGTTAATATTCCTCTTAATATGCAAGATTCAAGAGCAATTTTTTGCAAAAGAAACACCGGTCAGGATGTCTTACAGAAAATGCAGAGCTTGAAATAGCAAGAGAACTAAGCAAGTCAAATAGCATCTCAGAACATATTAGTCTTTCCAAATAACATGAATTCAAGCAATAAACCTCAATACTGCGTCAGCTATATTCTGGCAGATAGTTCAATCTACAACAACAACAATATACCCAGTGTAATCCTACAAGTGGGGTCTAGAGAGGGTAGCGTGTATGCAAAACTTACTCCTACCTTGAGAGATCGTTCAACACAAATAATCAAAACATCAGAAAAATTGATTACCTCAGGGTGTGACCTGAAGAAATTCAAGAGACGAGCGCGGAATATTTTCCTCAATAGAACACTGCTACTGTTAGATTTCCACTTCTCACTATTATCAACTGCATTTGCATTTAAAGTGATATAAAGATCCGGCTTCATGCAACAACTGCGCTCATCGTGCTTGAGGATCTTCTTTATCTCAATGGCTTCAGGTAAAATAAACTTCAGCTGAGCTAAATGGCTGCAAGTAAACCTCCTAAAAAGTTCAAAAAGAACGAAATTATTAACAATCCTCTCAGTACAGCAAACACCATGAATGAAAATGTTCAAATATCATTAGATCTTCATACTTATCGATCAAACTCTCTACTTTCGCACTAATATTAGTGAAAGTTGTTGCAGATCCCTTCAAATGCAGCAGCCGAATTGAACTATCCATGCTATTGAAGTACTTTTCCAACAATTCATACCTATACAGTAATACAAACATACGTTAAGAAAAACTCAACCAAGTCTCTTACTCTGTCATCACTGTAAGCTAATAAACAAATAAGACTATTACTTTCAAAAGCTAATATATTGAACAACTACTCCATCCGTCCCAATCTATGTGTTGTATTTGGATTTCGAGAGTCAAACAAGTTTTTCATATAAACTTTTAAATTGTTAATTATTATTACTTATAGTAGCTTTTTTTTTAATTATATATCTTTTCACTTAATTTACAAATATGTAAGTTACATTTCAAAAAAGATTGATTCTACATCCGAATTCCCTGAGTCCCCAAATTTTCTGTTACTTTTTGCTTTTCCAAATTCCTACCCAATCCGCCATGAGATCAATAGTGTTCCCACTTACCCTCCCGTGTGGCTTTAAGCTCACACTCAACCTATAGCAATGCTCAACCACTTGAGCAAGCCTCGATTGTTAAATCTAAATATCTTATTATTTCTTCAAAGGATAAAATTTATTCAAATTAAGTTTCACTCTAAAGTTAATCATTTCAAAAGCAAAATAAATAAATAAACAAATTTGTGATAAACATATTGAAGAATATTCAAGTAAGGATCTCGTCAAAGAGGCACAAAGTGTATAACGAAGAGTACAGGAAACACTCACTTTTCCGGCAGCTTTACCGAATTTACATGTTTCTTCCGTTCAGAAACCGGCGATTCAGCTACCAAAGGAGATTTCACTTCACCGTAGCTTATTAACGGGTCAGAAACCTCGCGTTGAATCGGATCGGGTTTCCGGAGCTTCTGAGCTGCTTCTCTGACGTCTTTTAAGGAGAGTAGTGACCGCGCCATGCGATTTGGGATCGGTTTCTCCGGTGTTTTGGTGCTCCATTGATCCATCACCGGAGTTGCTACAACTCCGGCAGATTTTTCACCGGGAATTGGAATTGCCGGCAATGATTTCCGATCGGACGGTGAAGATCCGGTGAACTCCATTAATGAGAGGCAGAAATTGAAAACGAAATGAATGAAGAGAATATATAGTTAGGTTTTCGCGCGGGAATTATGATGACGTGTCTCTTAGGCCACGTCAGATTTGGCGCCATCTTAGCGCTATTGTTGCTAAGACAAAAGGCCCATTGGGTCGTAGCTGGTAGATGGAATTTAGGCCCAATAGTTTCTTTACTAAAATTAGGCCCATCTAATTTGAGTAAAATAATTTTTAAAAAAATTCAGAAATTGCATACATGATATAGCTCTATGAGTATACTTTCGATAATTGCGTTCCATAACTATTGTTCAATTTGCTATGTAGGCTGCAGTTTATATATTTTTGTCCGTTTGTATATTTCTACAAATTCTGTATTTATTCATTTAGATATTTTTCAAAACTCCGTTTATATATTTCGCTTGCTAATATACAAACATGTTAATTTCTTATGAATTTTTCACAAATCATATACAAATAGCTGGGGTAAGCATATACAAAATTTTGGATTTATACAATCATGAATCAAATTATACAAATTCTAAATTTATACAAATAACACGAATTATACAAATCAGACGAATATCAAGAATTAGAAAAATTGTAGCCACGAATTATAATTTTCTTGAATTGTAGCTATAGTACCTAATATAGGCTAAATGTTGTTGATCTGCATAATTTTTCCATAAAAAATGTTTTCATCCCTTCTTTTAACAATTCTTTGATTCTATTTTTTCTTTTAAGACATATTTAAGAGTACAAAATTAAAAAACAGTTTGATATATTCGATATATTTTTAATTTATGGCCACAAATTTTGAAAGTCTTTCATTTTTAATCTTGTGTCAAATTAGAATAAGACAAATAAATTGAAACAGTGAGAGTATTATTTATCTCAAAGAATTGAAACACCTTATTTAACAAAATGTTTCTAGTACTATACCAAAAAAAAATGGCAACAAAAGTGCCACATATGTACAAATGGCAAACAAAAACAATAAACACATAGCAAATAATGACGAAAGAGTTCCATGTTCATCATATTGCACACTCCCCAAAACAATTTATCAATAATAAAGGACATAAAACTAAATAAATAAATAAAAATCCCATTTTAGTCTATTATATACATCCTTTTTTGCAATTATTTTGGATTATTTCATTCAATTTGTCAAGATGACAAATACCAAAACCTACAAAGGGGATATTACAAAATCAACATCAAAAGATGAAGAAGAAGGTCAATTGAAATTATATTCACCAAAATATGCCCTAAAAGTTAATAATAATACTTACCAAAAAAAGCCAAATGAAGAAGGAGGTCAAATGGAATTGTACTCACCAAAATATGCACTAAAAGTGAATAATTCAAAGGTAAAGTCCTTTTCTTTTTATATATAATTATCAAGTTTATTCAGGTTCAAATTTCAACAGAGATAATAGTACGATATAATTTATTTTACATCTGTCATGTCCTAGCTTTAGTAGACAAACTAGATATTTGTTGTCAGAATTAATTGAAATGCGTGCAAGTGATTTGAATGCCATAATTATAGTGGCTAAAGAGTTTCCAATTCAATCATTAACGATTGATTACTTGTAGTTATCTTTTAGATAATTTTTTTCTAAGCTTTTACTATGTTTTGATTTCAGGTTAAGGATGAAGGAGTTAATGGGAAGATGAACCAAAAACAAGAATTTGAAGAAAAAGAAAAGAAAAAAGTTGTTGCTACTAATGGTGGTCCACTTGCTACACCTTTGCCAGTTAGACTCACTTCTAGAATTTAATCGAGGATTTATCAGAAATAATCTCTTTATTTTATAAAAATAGAAATAAGGTTTATATATATGTGGAGTATAATACATTTGCTAGACTCACTTCTACTTCTAGAATCTAATCGAGATCTAATATGAAATAAGATTTACGTATATTTTATATTTTTTTCGGCTCATGTGAGAATATAATTAGTATGTTGCTCTTTTTCTTTCGTATAAGAGGAAGGAATAATTAAAGGTGAAATGTAGAATTGGAGTTTCTTTTGAGTTTTTATTTCTTTCCTTTCTTGATGCATGGTTTGTATACAACTAATACATGAAGAAGGGATGAAAAATAAATGTAATTTAATTCGATGAACGAAGCATTTTGTGTCACGCATGATCTTGAAGATTCATGTATATACTAATAAAAAATAGTAATTTTGTTTATCAACGAGATCAATTTGATGCATGAAGAATTTCGTGTTTATACGTGATTCACATGTGCTTGAGATCGTTTTTGGATAAAAATATCATATTAAGTATTATTGTATAGGAAAAATCACACCACACATCTATTTAAGGATTAATATTATAACTTTTGGATCTACTTTTTTTATATTACTACTTATAACATTTTAATTACAAGTATTAACATATTAGTTTTAATTTATAAATTAATTAATTATATATTATTAACTAATATATATTATATAATGTTATATAATTAATAGGTGAGAGAAATAATATTAATGAGCGAGAATCAATTTGTAATTATTTATTACACAAGTTAAGGAATTTTTTTAACTTATCATATATCACCCCACCCTCACGTTACTCTCAAAATATTTTTTTTCATAAATATAGTAATTTATAATTGACAAGATAAATCTTTCCCTTGATATTCTCCTAATTAGTTGATTTTTATTTTGATTATTTTATTATTCCCAAGATAAATATTGATTACTATTCAAATACTTTTTATTTATTAATGACTATTGAGGCCTTTATTTAAAAATAAAAAATAAATTTATCACCGTATAATGTAGCATGTAATTTTCTCTCACTTTAATCTATCTTTTTAGCTTTTCTTGATGTTTTTTAATTTTAAATTTTGATATTGTTTTTTATTTTTTTTAATTGAATTTTTTTAGAATTAAAAATTTTATATTTTGAAAAATTGATTTCGTTTTTTTTATTTTAATTAATCTGAAACTTGATTTTTTGAGAAAAATAATAGTTTTACTGAAATTTTTGAACTCGTTTTTGGTGTGTTTTTCTATATCTAAAATATTATTTTGTTGGTGAAATAAGTATATTTAATTCTGAAATTTGTTGATATATATAGATAATATGAGATCATAAAATCTTTAATAAGGAGTTCCTAAATTTTAGCCTAAATATGATAAAAAAAAATCACACTTAAATACGAAATATAAATTGAAGAGAGAAAAATATAAAACTTGTATTAATTATTGCAGTTTAGACTTTTAATTACATGTTTTTATTTTTGGGTGATGTATATTTCTTTTGCTACAATTTCTGACAACAATATATAATATGCATTGTTTTACAGTCAGATTTATTCTTCCCAGATTTATACCCGTTGGATACCAATTTCATATATTTTTATTTTTTATCTTTGTTCTAAAATTTCAAGTTTGATACCAAGTGTATATAAATGAAACTTTCACTTATAGCAAACAAAAAAATCATATTTGTATGCTATAGCAAAGTTTGCATAATTGCGCTCCATAGCAAACATATATATGTATAATTCGCTATACATATATACAAAAAGAAGCAATTGTATAATTCGTTGGCTCCTCTTCAGAATTGTATAATTTCACTGGCAGGCCATTTGTATAAATTGTTGTTAGCCTCTCGTTTGTATAAATCGTTGACAAACATAAATTATACATTATACAAGCATAAAACTGGGCAGGGGAATATTTTTATTGTATAATTATAAGTGTATAGGACGAATATATATGTATTTGCATGTGTATATACAATTTTCTCTCGCTTTATACAAATAGAAACGCAATTTATACAATTTTGTTGTATAAAACGAGAAAGAGAGAAAGACAAAAGAGAACTGGGCAGGTATACATTTTTATTTTTTGTCTTTGTTCTAAAATTTCAAGTTGGATACCAAGTTTATATAAATTGGATACAACATTAACTTGTTTTAGATTGTCTAATTTGGTTGAACTATCAGTTACATTTTTGTTTTTTTCATTTGCAAGGGGGATATCTGTTGGATACCAAATTGATACCAATTGAATACAACATTAACTTGTTTAGGTTGTCTAATTTGGTTGAAATCTCAACTACATTTTGATTTTTCAATTTTCCAATGGAATATCAATTCCATACTAAATTTATTCAAATTGGATACAATATTAACTAATTTTACATTGGCTATTTCAGTTGAAATCTCAATTATATGTTGTTGTTTTTTCAATTTTACCACTGAGACGTTAGTTGGATACCAAATGTATACCAATTTCATACTAAGATTTGACTTAATTTTTCCAATCACATACCAACATTACCTATTTTTTGAGAATACATTTGAAAAACACCGATACACAAATGATTAACTGGCACACGTAATAAATATTCTGAAATTATAATTCATTAACTTAAAAGACAAAATAAATCAAAACATGAGTTTGCCACAATAAAACAACCAAATAAAAATAAATTATGTCTTTTTTTCAAAAGGGTAATAAAAAAAGTGCTTTTTTCAAAAAATTTCCATACAAATTTAAAGTAATCGAACTTTAAATAGGCATCGAACACGAGAAACAAAAACAAAAGGATTAGACAATGTTGATAACTATAAGTACCATTTGTGTTTCACAACTAATGTATTATCATCTTGCAAAGAGGTGGAACTAATCAAAACGGGATTGGCATTAATAGAGGTGGAACCAATCAAGACGAGAAAAGAGGTGGAACTAATCAAAACGGGATTGGAATTCATAGAGGTGGAATCAATTAAGACGAAATTTGGATCGGAATTAATAGAGGTGGAACCAGTCATGACGAGATTTGAATCGACTTTCTATCTCTATGAACAATGTTTCGAAAGGATTTCAACTCTTTTTTGTTTTGAAGTAGGACCTTCACCTTTCAAAATTTTCAAAAGGGATGAGCCTTACAACTTTATGTTTCGAATCCTTCAAAAATATCGTTAGTGCCGAATCCTTCACAAGTGCAAATTTTTAGGTAATCCGTCACGAATACAGTATCATTTTTTTTGGAGAGTCTGAACAATATAGATGAAAATGACACAATTACCATTCACAAAAGGATCTCCCAAAATTTTCTTTCAACCTTATTTTGCTCAAATTCTTTAAAAAATCGCCAGAAGTATGTCTGATCTTTCAGAAG